ACACACACACACACACACACACACACACACACACACACACACACACACACACACACACAGTGTGATCTCCATCGAGTAGAAACTGTTCAGATCCACAAAGATTTTTCCTGTTATTTGTGATAAAAAGAGTTCTGAAAAGTTGTAAGAAAATAAAAATTTTTAATGAAATGGAATCCTTAATGTTTTGGAAAAATTTGCTACTTAACCTTGTACCAACTCCTTCTTTGAAAGGAAGAATCTGTGATTTATGATAATAATCCCAAATTTCTTTTTCATAAATGAGCCGAATGTCTCAATATCTTGAAAATGGACACATTTCTATCCCTATAATTTTCTGCACAATGAGAATATGGCTCATCTGTTGCTTAAGAATCTATATCCAAAATGTCTGAGTTTTGAGCTTTGTTCTGCGTTCTCCTGCTCACTAAGCAACCACAAGTACTCCACAGGTGGGTGACTTTCCGGCCTTTGGTGAACAAGTTGGAAGGAAGAGGTGTCCTTGTGAACTCCCCACCCGGGACCCCTCTAGAGGGCTCCACAAAGCCTGGGAGAAGTGGTCCATGTGAGTTAACTAATGCTCTTTTAATCCCCTTTGTTTTTAGGAATATCCCACCTGAGAAGTCTTGGGGCAGAAATACACACACTTACATAAGAAATCAAACTTTGGAAATGTACAACTTTGACAAGGCACAGCGAGCACACCTCTGCGACCCTGACCCATGTAGACAAAGGAGAGCAATGTCTCTGTGGCAAACTGAGTGACTTTTCCAAAGGCTTTTCCGGTGTCTACACCTTCTGCCACGTGACTGCCATTCCTTCCACGGAGGCAGAATACATTCCCCACAGCACTAGCGCCCAGGTGAGTTGCCCCGGTTCATGGAAACTGGGAAGACAGGAAGGAAGTGTGTTAAGGTCTGTACCTTAAGACACACTACACATTACACCCTCTGCTCTCGAACTACTCCCCTGCCTTAGGCGTCCCCATCTATGGGTCCAAGGAGGGCGAGAGACAAAAGAAGCGGACTGAAGGAGCACCAAGCAGAGCAGAGTCCAGCCCGGAGCAGCAGATGCCAAATGACTCCCGGACACAGGAGCAGATATGAATGATTGTTATTGAAGATGCTAAGGTTTGAGGTAACTTGTCACAGAGTACTAATATGGCAACAAACTCTACTGATATCTTGTTTGCTGTTCTACTGCTGTTTCCCAAACCATCTGGCTTACATTTTTAGAAGCATTAGAATCTAAAGAAGAGAATCTCATCAAAAAGCAAGGATTCTCCAAAAGTCAATATGCTCCATGGGTGAAGTCAGACAAAAACTCAGCCACAGAGATACACTGTGGAGATAGGCACTGTTCCGACCTGGCTCTGCAATGGAAAGGACAGAACCAGGAAAGTCCTGCCTAAGTTTGGGTTCAAAGTCAGCATTTACACCACTTTAAAAAATAAAAGGCCCTGGGATGGTAGGACCCTGAATACCTGGAGAAATAAAACTCAATTCCTTTCTCGAAGAAGGTCATTTAAAAACCAAGATTTAAAAACCTATCCAGAGATAAAAGTATGAAGAACATAAACCCCAACTTTAAAAGTACTATGGCTAAACTAATACAAAAAAACCTAAAAGGATATAAATGTTTAGAAAATGAACAAACTGCAGAAAAATATAAAATGCATACCATTTTTTTTTTTTTTTTTTTTGGTACCGGGGATTGAACGCGGGTCCTTCTGCTTGCAAGACAGGTGGCAGCACCACTGAGCTAAATCCCCAGCCCAAATGTATACCGTTTAAGCAAAGTTTAAAAGTATGAAAAACTAAGCAAAATGCTATTTAAATATTTAATATGTGAAAGACCATATCAATATCAAGGGATTGATTAACACCAAGTTCTGTTCAGCAGTTACCTCTGGTGGGGCAGAGGGACTTGAAGGCACATATGGGACTTCTAAATACTATAACATTCCATTTATTAAGCTTTCTGGATAATACAGCTTGAATATTCCTTACCTGAAACCCCATGTTTTGGAATTTGGATTTTTTTTCAGATTCTGGAATTTTTGCATATACATATATAATGAGATATCTTGGGGTTGGAACCTAAGTCTAAACACAAAATACATATGCATTTTACACATACCTTATACACAGAGCCTGAGGGTAATTTTACACAATATTTTTCATAATTTTACATATGGAAGTTCCACAGTGTGGAATTTTTCATTTGTGTCATGGCAGAGGTCAAAAAGTTTGGGATTCTGGAGCATTTCTATTTTTGGATTGGGAATCAATCAGCATGGGTGTTCTTTTCACCACTCTCCTTTATACTGTATACTCATACCATGTACACTTTTTTGCACATATTTTACGATAAAAATGAAAGTAAAAAATAAATAAAAGCAAGAATGGCTACACGGGCCCCGTCTGGATGCTCTCACGGACATCACTGTGGCCAGAGAGGCTTGTCAGGGCCCTGCAGGCCGCTGTCCTCTTTTCCTCAGCGGTAGACGTGAAGAACAGATGGCCTAAGAACTTGTCATTGATGGTTTGGGAAGCAACGGTCTGACAAGAGAACACACACTGGGGAGAAAAGAGAGTGATCAGCTTTTGATGAAGACCTTTGCTGTCACCGTTTCACACAGATGGAATGAAAGCATCAAGCACCACCCCCTCAGCGCCTCAGCCCCAAATGCAAGGAGCAATGCGAATGTGCTCTGTCCTCCGATGACACAGGGACCGGAAACAATGGGGAAGGTGAAGATGAGACCTGACCCTTGTGGCTTCAGAGAACTGTGAGTTCTTTTCAAATACACAAGGCTCAGAGGCTACATGGGATGTCTTCTAATTTGCCCCCATCCCCTTCAGGAGATCTGCATGTGCCCCAGAAGAGGCTTCGTAGGGAACTGGCTCTCTTGGGCATGGATGAGAGGAAGTCAGTTCTTCTCAGAATGAATCGGAGGACAGCCTGAGCCCTGGGCTTAGTGCTCAACTGCTTTGAGGTGCATTCACTCTTCACTCCCTCACAGAGTTGCCTCTCACGATGGTTACTAGACATGTGACCAATCAAGGCACACCCCAGAGAGATCAGTGAGTTTCCACCTTACAGGCGAGAAAACTTTAGAAAGACAAATTAACTCTCAAAGAACTGAACAGCAAACCCTAGCAGAGTTGGAGCTGGAAGTAATTATCGGGGTACACTAGCCCAAAAAGAATTTTCCCTTCTTTGCAGAGGAAAAATAGAATGCAAGAAAGGCGTTGGTACCAGAGTATAAAAAGTAGGGAATCCCCACTGACAATTTTTACAATCATCTTTCCCGCTAACAGTTAGATTAAGACTTCGTAATCATGCTAACTATCCCCCATACTGGACTTCTAGAGAGAAAAAGAAATTTCTGATGCAGGAACAAAATTGCTAATGCCAAACAGAGAAAGTGAGAACCTGCCTTTATGTCAAGCCTATTGATTTAGGCCTGAAATTTTGAATGCAAAGTAATGAAATAAAGGAGCTCTGAAAATGATAAGTGATATAAAATAAAAAGTATACTTAATGATGTCCATGGCTTGAAAAGAGGACATTTTGGCAGCAAAATCAGCGCAAAGAAATGAATAACTCAACAGCACCGGATGATAATGTACGAAATGAGTCCTGCTGACTGATACACAAGAAAAAGGACGCTGATGACACAGAGTGAACAATACAGGTAAATTGTTCTCCTCAAATTTATGCATGACGAAGAGTCTGAAGTGTGATTTCTATGGCAATACTTGGGGAAAATTACAGCACTCTACTATAGGTACAGTTTTCCTTTTGTTATTACCCCACCTCCCTTTTCCCCTAACCCTTTTAAAATAATTTTCCTGCCTACCCACTTTTCCCTTCCTCTAATACTTAATAATTTTACCATTACTGACATTTCTTTCCCTCCATGCTTTGCCAAGAGCTACCAGTACATGTGAGGCCCCAGGGTAGGACAGGACCCTTGGTCACGTGAGGAGGAGACAAGAATGTATTACGGAGATCCATGGTTGTTCCTTGGGGTTAAAACTCCTGTCCTTCCTGATACTCTGATCTGAGCCCCACCCCACGTTCCAGGCTCAGCTGCAGTCACTGTGCCTGCAGAAGCTGATGCCCCCACAAAAAGGGCATCAGCTGTAAAAGGATAGAAAATGACAGGCTGGGGAATGGTGTTAGAAGAGAAAGAAGAGCAAGAATGAAGTCCATAAAGATTTCTTGAGGTTTATTTTCTCTTATTAAAGTGGCCACACCCTTGTGATTGTTCAGGGTTTTTCTTCCCCAAAGTCCTATATGAGCCCCTTAAAAATTACTCACAGAAATAGCTGTTTTGGTTAGGTGGGTCGTGGGGCTGGAGCCACTGACTTAGCCTTCACCGGGCCTACTCCCCATAATGCAGCCCCTAGGATGCCTCCAGCAGGGAGCAGGGCACCAAGGAAGGCATTTCGGTGCCACTGAACAGAAACCCCAGCCAAAACACTCAAGTGGCTGTCCACAGATGAAGGAGGCTCACTGCGAGCAAAGAGGTTAGACTGCCAGCTGGAAAAGGGTCTGAAATCCTCCTGCCAGCCTTTTACAGTAAAACTCCCCAAACTGCTTCCCATGCTGTGTTAGTTTTCTAGGGTTGTAATAACAAACTGCCACAAATGTACTGGTTCCTCACAACAGAAATGTATCCACGCTCTGAAAGGCCAGTTGTTTCTGGAGACTCGAAAGGAGGATGCGTTCTATGCCTTTCTCAATTCTAGGGTCTGCCAACAACCTTTGGCATTTGCTGGCTTAGCCACACATCATTTCAATCTCTGCTTCCACTCCCACATGACCTTCCAGGCTGAGTCTTTGTGTCTACTACCTTCTGTCTCTCACCAGGACACTCATCACTGGAATTAAGGCCCACCCCAATCCAGAATGATGTCACCTCAAGATCCTTACCTTAAATGTATATGTAAAGACCACCTGGTGAGATGATTTCCAGCGATGGCAAAATAGGAGTCCCAGATCCTCTTCCTGACTCCCAGAGAGACACCCAGCCAAACAATGCAGGAACTAATTCCTTTTGTGATGAATCCAGAAACCAAAAAAGAGGCCCCTGCATCCAAGCTGGTACAAACCAGATCCAGGAACACTGGTAGGAAAATTCGTGGTAGTCATCTACCACAGTCCCTCCCTCGGTTCAGTGCAGTGCACTGGGAGAGAAAGCTCAGCTTCTACCTTCTCCCTGGGCAAGGAAAGAAGTGGAGTGCATTCTATGTTCTAGCTTTCCAGGGAGCTACCTGCTGGGCTGGTTTACATCCTCCTGTTTTCAGCACACCTGAGAAGCGTGCAGGCCTCTGAGAGCAAAGAGAGCTGGCCAATTTGAAGCTTCAGAAGATCTGCAGTACCACAGATACCAGAGAGAGCAAGATTCTCTGAGCTCCTGAAAAGGGAAACTGGCAAATCCCTCTACTTGAGAGTTTCCATACAGGAGTATGGAGAAGAGGCCTCCACAGAAAGGGTTTGAGAGGTCTCCAGTATCTCGACGTGGGCTGATGATGAGGGTTTTTTCCTGTATGAAACCAGTCTGCAAAAATTAGAGGAGGTAGCTGCTTTTCAGAGAGAGCAAGATTCTCTGAGCTCCTGAAAAGGGAAACTGGCAAATCCCTCTACTTGAGAGTTTCCATACAGGAGTATGGAGAAGAGGCCTCCACAGAAAGGGTTTGAGAGGTCTCCAGTATCTCGACGTGGGCTGATGATGAGGGTTTTTTCCTGTATGAAACCAGTCTGCAAAAATTAGAGGAGGTAGCTGCTTTTTTCAAGTGTATAAATACCAACACACACACACACACACACACACACACACACACACACACACACACACAGCCCAATTAAATGGCCAAAACAAATCCCTAGAAACTTACTGTAAAGAAATGGGGAATAAAATAAGCCAGGCATGGTATACACACACCTGTAATCATAGCATTTAAAAGGATGAGGCAGGAGAAGCATGAGTTTGAGGCCAGCCTGGCCTACACAGACAAAGTTGATCGTAAAAAACAAAATAAAGAAA